CAGAAATCCGCTGGACGAAGCTGACCGCAACTATCTCTCTGAGCACAACATCAAGCTGTCGATTTCCGATCGTGATCAGGCAATCTCTCCACAGATACTTCTCGGATGTGGTGATCTGTTCGTTCTCTTGGATCAAGGATTTGGTCATGCCCACGACCTTCCATCAGGTCTCAAAGCCTTGCGTTCAAGAATCGGCTATCTTATCACTGGCTGCAACCGAAAAATGCAGGAAGATTCGATAGTCCAGCTACATGCTCTAAATACAGTAGAAGAAGACCTCCGAGCAAGAGCAGATTCAATGGGACAGATTCTGGAGCCTCGACTCTGCCGGTATCAACGAGTACATGGGACCAAAATCCCAAGAAATCGAGGAAGAGAATCGAAAGATCTGGAGCCACTTCCGCAATACCGTGCAGTACGACGATGGTAAATACTATGTTAGACTACCGTGGAAAACTACGACAGACGATCTCCCCGACAATCGAACGATAGCTTTCAATAGATTGCGAAGTGTGCTCACAAGCCTCAAGTGCCAACCACATCTCTTGGCACAGTACCACAGTATATTCCAGGAGCAGCTGTCCAACGAGATCATAGAAGAAGTCGACGAGAACTCCGAACCTGATGGTCCAGTTGTGCATTATTTGGCACATCAGCCCGTCATAACACCGCAGAAGGATACCACAAAACTTCGTATAGTTTTCGATGGATCAGCACACCACAAGAATGCACCCTGTCTCAACGACAAGCTGCACCAAGGTCCAGTATTACTACCGTCACTTGTCGACATGCTCAATAGATTCCGTATTGGAAACATTGCAATTGTGAGCGATGTGGAAAAGGCATTCTTACAAGTTCGTCTTCAAACGGTCGATAGAGATGCCACTCGCTGCCTGTGGATAAGAGACACTGACAAGCCACTAAACAGGAGCAACATGGTCACTTATCGCTTCACACGTGTCACTTTTGGACTTAACTGCTCACCTTTCCTACTAGGAGCAACGATAAATGAGCACTTGAGTCGTACCTCAGATCGCGAAATAGCCAACTGCATCAAAGACAATATTTATGTGGACAACGTCATTCTGACGGCTGCTACCCCGGAAGAAGCTCTCGATCGATGTCTTCGCGCAAGACAACTCTTTGCAGAAATCAACATGAATCTCCGCGAGTTCTGCACTAATTCTAGCCACGTCAATCAGACGCTTCCCAAAGAATCTCGGGCATCGAATCAGAATCCCAAGGTTCTCGGGATCCAATGGCTTTCGGAAGACGATGAGATGAGGATCACATGTAAATTTTTGCAAAAAGCAATCATCTCGAAACGAACAGTCTCCGAACAAGTTGCAGCGGTATACGATCCACTTGGAGGCTCACTCCCTGATAGTTGAAGCCCAACCCACTCTTATAACTCCTCCAAAGGATATGGCAAAACATATATGCTTGTGATCACAAGCCTACGAACGAGCACAAGACATGGATAGATATCGAGCTCGGCACAAAACTTCGAGAAACGTCTTCCAAGAAGAGTAAGCAATGGATCGAAGTCCACGCCGGCAGAACTGGTTGCCTTCACGGACGCCAGCAAAAACGCCATGGCTGCATGCGTCTACCTCATCCACGAACATACAATCACGTTACTAATGGCGAAATCTAGGGTTTCTTCAATCAAGGACAGACCTACTATACCGAAGCTGGAAATGAATGCGCTCACTATGGGGATGCGCTTGGCAAACTCTAAAACCATCTCATTGCTGCGTCTTCTCAGACTCAGAAATTGCTTTGAGTTGGCTTCAGAACCCCCAACTAGATCCAAGGACGGGGGTACTCGTTCGTAATCGATCGAAAGAGATCCGGAAAATCGCAGAATACCTCCACCAGAACCACGTCACAGTCAAATTTGGATACATTAACACAATTATCAATCCAGCTGACTGCGGCACCAGAGGATTAACGAAGGAAGAGTTCATCGACAAACAGCTTTGGTGGACTGGACCTCCCTTCCTCAAAGATCCAAAAGAATACTGGCCACAACTACGGTACCAGCTTCCCACTGTCGACTACGATGACACTGAGTGCATGATGATAAGATCGACGAATAACTCGTCCAGCACACACAACGCAGAAGTTATCGACCTGGCTCGACATTCTTCAATGAGAAAAGCTGTTTCCTCCTTCGCGTATGCACTCAGATGGCTCGAGCGCCTTGCGAAACGTAGCAATCCGGATCTACAAACACGTCTTTTCCAACAAATACCAGAACTGCTTCCTCACTACACTGATGACCTTATCTCTGTACCAGAATACAACCGTGCTTTCACACTTCTCGTTCGCAGCCATCAAAGGATCCATGTAGAAGGGAAACTCGACATGAAGCGAGATCGGCTCATTCCAGTTAAAGATTCGAACGGAATTTTGAGATGCCGCGGAAGACTGAAGAATTCAGATCTTGCCGAAGAAACAAAGTTCCCCATTCTTGTCGCCGCGAAAACTCCACTCGCGTTACGACTCATTGAGGAAGCTCACGGTACTCTCCATCTCAGTATGGCGCACACAATGGCCAAGGTACGCGAGAAGTTCTGGATCCCACACTTGAGGAGACAAGTTCAAAAATTCCTTCGACGATGCGTACCGTGCCAGAAGATGAATAACTTGCCATTCCGGTATCCAGAAATGTCCGATCTTCCAAGTAGACGTGTGGTACGTAGCAGGCCGTTTCAGCATGTAGGAATCGACTACTTCGGCCCACTCACCATCAAACTGTCCACAGAAGAGCAGGGCAAGGCTTATGGAGTAATCTTGACATGCACGGTTACTCGCTTACTACACATAGAGTGTGTACCGGACATGACAACGGACAATCTCCTCCATGCTTTACGGCGTTTCTTCGCCAGAAGGGGCGTCCCAGAGACAGTCACATCTGACAATGGTCCCTACTTCCTATTAGGGAGTCAAATTCTGAACGAGGCTGCTGACCAGACGATCAACGATGCAACTGTAGCACAATTTATGGCCACAAAAGGAATTGTATGGTCAACAAACACTCCGTACGCTCCATGGCAAGGTGCTTTTTATGAACGTCTCATCAAGTCAGTGAAACAGTCCTTGTATAAAGCGATTGGAAAGGCCACACTGACAATGGAAGCGTTGACCACATTACTAATTGAAATCGAAGACTGACATTGGGCGTTTGACCTTTCTAATGGAATCGAAGGACTCTCACACCGTCATTCACTTATCAGAGGAGCACTGGGACGATCACTCTGATACGACATCGACTTCTTTCAGTGTGATTGTCTACCTACCGAGACGGAATCAAAGATGCAACAGATGACGCTGATTATCGTACGCCAACGGAACTTCTGCAACTGCAAACCCGAAATCAGGCAGAAGAAGCCCTACGTAGCTCTCATCAGTTCACAGAGAAATTCTGGAAGCTGTGGAAGGAGCAATACCTCACCTCGCTGAGGGAGCAGCATGTGCGCTTCCTACCAGGCAATCGAGGATCTCCGAAACAACCGGTTCCTGGTCAAGTCGTACTGATAGCAGACCCAAACATGCCGAGGAACTCTTGGAAAATGGGACGTATCCTGAATGTCAGATCCAATGCTGAGGGTGTGGTTCGAGAAGCCGACCTTTTTATGCCCAATCGCCGCATAATCAGACGGCCAATCAATCAACTCGTTCCTCTTGAACTAATGGACACCCCGAGCCAGCCTTCCGAAGATACCATGACTGAACCGTCAGCACCAGCAGCAGAGGAACCTGAACCTGAAATCCAAGAAGAAGAACAGAGGTACAACCTGCGAAAGCGACCTCGAGTTAATTACGAGCAGCTTCACCATGGTATGATATCGAAAACTCTTTTCCTCCTTGCTTTCGTCACCCTCCTAGCACCCGCTCTATCAAAGCCGCTCGGAACATCTACAAAGGCAGGAATCAACACCACGGCGGACAGTATCCGTTGTACAACGGAAGGTCTTTTTGTAACTAGTAATACACTATCACTGTATGAACTCTGCGTTGAAGGATACTGCATCACACGTGAAAATCCACCGCCAACAGAGACGATTCACTTGTCGCCAGAAATCACACTGCACCCATACGCTGTCAAATGGAAGATATCGAAAGGACAGCAACTCGACACGAGGGAAATTGAGTGCCCAGCAATACCCTTCTGCTCACAAGTGAATTGCTGGTTTTGTACAGCCAACATTCTCAATCCTGAGTGCCATCCTCAAACTGCGATCATAACCATTGCTGTTGTGTTGTATGGCATTGTGGCGCTGATATATACCATATGCTATGTGCCAGTAGTAGTGGGATTACCGATCAGGGTTCTGCTCGTAATAACACAACGAATCTTCAGCATGTGCTTCCTGGCAGCATACACCTGCTTTTCGAAACTGCGGGTCAAGCTAACTCGAAGGGCACAACCAACAAAATTCATTGCTCTTTTGTTCATTATCTGTATCGCACATCTTGCTCAATCATGTCAAGACGTTGACGTGTTCGAGCTACGCGCAACTACCTGCATACGATCAGGAGACGGCAACAGAACTTGCGCAGTGGATATTACTCAAATGCTCAAGATGAATACGTTTCATCGAGAAACATGCTTTCGACTTCTCACACGAGACACCCTTCTGAAAGAAATACGACTGGAATGGAAGCGTCTTCAGCTGATATGCGACAGACAAACAGTTATGTTCACGAGGCATGTTATCCAGCAAGTGATAGATTCGAAGCGGTGTCCACGAACAGGAAGTTGTAAAGGCCGAAAGTGTGCAAGTGTCAACACAACATCTCTGGTCCCGGAACTATCCCAAGGAAACAAGTTTCCCTGGAATCACCCACTGTGTGGAAAGTTGCGGTGGCATAGGATGTGGATGTTTCTACCCTAGCAGTGGATGTCTGTTTTACCGAATATATGCTACTCCCGTAAACGACAACATCTACGAGATATTCCGCTGCTTACGTTGGAAGGAAGAAGTAGTGTTGGGAATCTCGATAACCGAAGCTAAAGGAGAGACCACGGAGAAACACTATAATACTTCCAACCAACTATTCCACAGAACGTAGGAACCATGAGAATCACCCTATCTTCGGTAACCGTCACTCCTACTCCGGCACTACAAACGTGGTTTATTACCGAAGGTAATAATACGGCACGATGGACAGGATCAAACATCCCAACTTTGGAATGCCCTTCCAAAAAAGCCGCGAAAGTGTTGGATTGTGAGATTCACACTAACTGTAGATGCCAGCCCGCAGAGGATAAAATGAACTGTATTTGCACTGATACCAACATCACCAAAGATTTCAATAGCGAACTTCGCAACCGACTGCCACTGCGATACCCGTGGATTGAGTTCGAGGAATACCATCCCAAAGAGGAACTCAATACAGTAAAGGCGATACCTACTCGCTTGTCCACAGCTGAACTGTCCACAGCTGAACTGCTTGTTACCATCAAAGAAGATTACGACTCAACAGTGAAAGAAGTGACAGATACGGTATGCTCAGTAGGCGACACTACCATAACAGGATGCTACCAGTGTCCACATGGAGCACTCAGCGAAATCGTGTGCTTCTCGCAAGGAGAGTCCACCATGGCCTCTGTACACTGCGGAGAAAACACCTTCACAGTGTCATGCAACAACACAGGAATAACGTCCCTGCTACGCTTCCAGCTTTACCAGGCTCAGATACACTTCCAGTGTGAAGTCTATTGTGGTTCAACAAAGACACAATTCGAAATCACAGGACTCCTTCACTGGACTAAAACAGCCTACGCGACAGGAGAAAAGTTGCTCGCAGGTGAGACGAGCCTTTACGAGGAATGGGCTCTTCCAGACGCTGAACACATATTCAGTGTTTTGATATCATGGTACAAGTCAATACTGATAGTCACTATCGTACTACTGCTCTGTATCGCAGTTGGATACCTCTTCGTTTGGAGCTGTGGAACGAAAACCCTCCAGTTTGCTGGCTACCTTGTCTGCATATCAATCCGAAATACAATTAGATTCGGAATAACATTATTCATCAAGACTATATGTTGTTTCAATGCTGTCAAGGAAAGCAATCAACACCTTCGGAAAGAGCTGTAATACTGCCATAAATTGGACTAATGCATGTATATATGTAAAAATAACTACTTCCAGCATGTTCATCTGAGCACAATAATCGCATGGCTACATATTTATCTGACATATATACCCTATCAACTTCTTTCAGTAATCTACACTCCATACTGACGAACGATGCAGTCTTCTAAAGCCGAACGACCAGCCGTGAAAAAGCCGATCGAGAAGAAAAAGAAACCTTCTCCTCCTGCAATCCCGAAAGCAAAGCCCGTTAAGCAGTCAGATTCCCTCGAGGTCCCTCTATCGGTGCCAACACCGCAGCTTCCTAACCCAACACCATTTCCGATGCCACCTCCGGAACCACCTTCACATGCCTCACAGCTGCAAGACCTTGAAAAGGCGTACCATAACATCTACCAAACGGGCGCATCAATCATTGGCTTCATTTCCAAAGAAAATGAGGCTCTCCATAAGCAAATGGAAATTGCAAGGCATGATAAGGTCAAAGAGTTGATTGAGATAATCTCGGAGCTGAAGTATCTACAAGGTGCTGCGCTTCAACAAAGCAGTGATTCCTACTCGGTAGAAACAGCTCTCATGACACTACGGGAAGTCAACGAGTCCGGGCACGAGAAGATGCTTGAGCATTTCCACGACTGGAAAAAGGAGGTGACTGATAAGATCGAGAGACTTCTGAAGCTGAAAACGCCTTGCGCGTTAACAAAGGTCGATATGATTAACACGATCAGAAAGGAATATCAGTCCTTCCAAGGATGCTCAAAAGCTTCTCGAGTCTCAACGACCAATTCCAGTTACGGCGACGGAACTCAAGGAGCTGGCTAACAATTATGGCGACCTTGACAAAAGAATAGATCGCGTCGAAGTTCTGCTAAACCAGAGACTGGACAAAATGGAGGAGGCGTTGGAAACAACCAAGCAGCAGCAAAACGAGACGTTGCAGGCAATAAAAGAGGCGATGCAGACAATTCAGCATAAGTTGCTCACCAGCTCTTCGTCCTCCTCCTCCTCGTCGTTACCAGCAGGCTCCAGCCCCAGAAAGCCGGAGGCCTCAGCCCCGTCCACTGATCGTGGCAAAACACGACCTCAGGTGAGACCAGTCATAAACGAAACACCGCGGCGAGAGTCGTCAGCAGTCGAGCAGCAAAACCGCTCCCGCGGTGTAACCAGAGACACAGAAGTGACTCGCAGACCACCCGTTTCATCTCTGCACATTCAAGAGCTCAGAAACAACATCAGCTTAATTGACAAAAAGATAGCTGAGATCAACAAGGCTATGGAAGAGGCGCTGCGTTCAACTGGAGGTGCGAGCAGCTGAGACGGGAAAAGTTAAGCCTGTACAGGTCAAGGGACTTCTATGAGGATCAACTTCGTTGCGGAGAGCAGAATCAAAGCCGTAGCCGAAGTCGCAGTCGCGGCCACTGCAGTCGTCGTCAGAGGACCCCCAGCCGCAGCCGACACAGAGGAGATAGCAGTCATAATTCATCGCGACCATCCACATCGGCCTGGGGAGTATAACGACTTTACGTCGTTATTCACCAAATTTTGTCTCAGCTTACAAGTCGGTTGAATTCACTCAATCGATACGCGAGACTCTTTGTGCGCAGACCTCTTTATCTGTAGGCCCATCAAGAGGCTGCGCTTTTTTATAAACATACCCTCACTACTCATTTCACTTGCCGTTCACGCCATTTACCCTTTTATATAGTTCACTTGCACTTTTTACATGTATTCTATTCCCGCAACTTTTTCTGTTGTTTTTGTCTACAGTTTGCTTTATCTGTATTCCATGAAAGACTGTACTTTCTTTCTCATGACTGTTTCTCATGGCTCACCAATAGGTCACTTACCCTTCTTGAAAAGATTAAGCCATCAACAACTTTTTTGGATGTCTTGTACAAAACACTTCTTTGTTGGTGCTCAGTATAAATACCCCCTGCGCAAACAGTAGGGGCTTCTTCTTCTGCTTCTCACTTCTAGCTTCTGGCTCCTGGTTCCTTGTTACTCCCACGCTTTAACTTCCCATTGGTGCTGTTTTTGAATATTTGTATAGTTTTGCCATATCAGAATAAAACTTCCAAACGTTCGTGTGGAAGATTCCTACAACAAATTTGTGGTGACTCGTAGATCTGAACTTGGACCGCGTGGCACTCTACTCAGAGGATAAGGCGAGCAGAATCTACATTTCTACAGCTGCATAATCCTACAAAATCTGTTCTACATTTTTAGAGCTGCATAGTCGCTACCGACCTGACACGCCGGAAAATTCTGTTACAAGTGGAAAACCCAAAATTCTAAGAAGGCGCACCTCAAATTTTGAAGGCCCATAATATCTTTCGTATGCGACATTTTGGAGAGCTGTAAAAGTTTTCAAACTTCAAATATTTTCTATTGAAACATAGAAAGTTTCGTTATTGTGCCCTTTTTCGAAAAATTGCTCCCGTTCGCACTTTTTTCGTGCAAAAGCGAGTTTTTGGGCTTTCAGCGGCCATAACTCACTTCATTTTCATTTCTGTGATGCACTTTTTTCATGGGGTGAAAGTACAGGATTTGCTCTTTCTAACAAGCACCAAACCGTTTTTCAAAGTTCATTTTCCGAGAAAATCACACGTTCGAACATTTTCTTCCCATAGGTTTTTGAGCAGCACATGCGAGTTTTTGAGCTTTCAGCAATAATAACTTCCTTCAAAAAGATTGTTGGGGTGAAGCGAAGACATTTTTGACAACTGCGAGATTTCTGCTTTCTAGAGTGCTTTCAGAATTCTCTGGACGAAAAATTAGCTTCCTAGAAGAACGTTATTTTCATCCTCGAGAAGTGTATTCTTCCACAGCACTGCATTCAGTTGTTGTTTATTTGGCCCGCATAAATCGAAACGAGTTTTGAGAACGTAAGAAGTCGATTCTAATGCGGTCGGCACAAAGTTTACGGATACGCCGCGCACGCACCTGTGGTTCAAAGTTGCAAAGGTATCTAGAAGTATTTTCCTTTTGCTATGACCAGGACGTTTTCAATTTTTAGCGCTGCTATCACGCTCTGCTACGACGAAATTTTTCGCGATATACAGGGTGGCCGAAAAGTATAGGACGCCATGTTTTTGTGTGTAAAAGCCAAGAAAGAGACTCGATCAGGAAACCGACTTCACACAAAGATAGAGTTAAGCTATTTGATCACTTGTGCAGAAGGTGCTTTGAATTTGACGACTCTGCTTTGAGAGAGGCCTTCTGACGTCCAACGACAAAATCAGCAGTGCGCCGCAGGTAGCCAACGGCGATGTCGTCCCACCTCTTCTGAAGCGCTAACTTCAGAGCACCCACCGAGCTGGAGAAGTCTTATGAGGTCTTGCTCTACAACATCCTCACATAGAGGAGTCCATCGGGTTAAGGGCCTGAGAGGAAGAAGGTCACAATTCCTTGCTCCAGTGGCCCGGGAAGTGAGCGCCCAGGATGGCTTTGGTCGATTTGAACGCGTATTAGGGAGCCCAGCTTCATTGAAGAGCAAACGATCATTGAGCAAAATGCTCGTAAATCCAGAACATACCGTACCTCATTAAAGTCTTTGCAAGACCTTCGAGTTAATTTTAACATTTGTGGAAGATGAACTCCAATGGAGCTGCACTTTTGGATGTTACCCCGTCACAAACTACCACACCTTCGGGAGAAAGTCTGTTGTAAACTAGACGTTATCTCGGAGACTTGCTCTCACTTTTTGGCAACAACTGCCTCTGACTTTGGTGGTCGCAAAGAAGTTTAGTTCAAAAATTTTCTCATTAACCCAATCCGTAAGAGAGATGCGGCGCACCTCGCTCGTGCAGAAACTTTTTGCATTTTATCAGAATCTATTCGGGTTGCTCCAATAAAACCAGCATAGAAAGAGTCGGTAACCCCTTCAAATAATGATTGCTTCCCAAGATTTTCTGGAAGGAGTGACGGCAGATCCTGAGATCAAAAGCGATGTGACTCACGCTGGCTTCATCGTTGTGAGCCATCCTCTTCTAGGTGATTGCCCCAATCCTCTGAGTGTGCACAGTTCTTGAACTTCCACTTTTCGCAATCCCAGAGACGTGTGCTTGAACCTTGAGAGCACCGAACATGTTTCAAAGAGTTGAAGAGGGAATACCGAGTCGCTTTCCGAAGTTGCAATTTCAGAGACCGTCATTGGGCAGCCTCTTGGTAATGGGTCGATGCAAAAAAATCTTCATGGCGAGAGTTCAGATGAACTTTGGACCAAACAACTTATGGTGCTTCTTACATAGTTTCAAAGCTTTCGAAGAGTTTCGAAACACTCTGAAAACTAACGGCTCAGCTCAGTGCCAGCAAGCGGTCGAAGCCGCGTCCTATACTTTTCGTTCACCCTGTATATTTAGTAATTCACGGGAAAAACACCTCAGGACGAAACGGTCGAGTCCGAAAAGAGTAATTATTTTGAGTTTATGACAAGCTCTTGCTCTTTTTGAGCGTTTCTCCCGCGGGTCCTCGAGATTGCGACCACTCCTCGAGCGGTGACCAAAATGCGACCCCTTCGTTCGAATAGTGCAAACTGACGGTATACCCTGTACACAACTTCATTATCTACTGCCCTTACCCCACAAAGTTGATCTGGGTTTGCTTTAAAGGACGAATTCACGATGAAAAAGCAACCCATTTCAAATTAACCTAGGGATGGTGAGTGGTACACGAAAGAAGGAAGAACCATGAGAAACGGCCCAGAACCCGAGAAATGGGACCCCTTCCTTGCCCGTTGATCTCATCGCTGTGCCCTCTTCAACACTACGCTCTCTCAGCTATCTAATCACTCGCCACGTATTGAACTACGGCGAGTGATCAGATGATCGGTGGGCGGAGATCGCCGGACCCGCCAGCTTTGAGGCATGATAGGTCGCCGAGGTCAAATTTTTCCATGCGAATTGCGCGTCAGTTCGCACCCTCAGGAGGTCCGTGGGTCCCTCAACTAGGTCAGTTTCCCTTTCTTCGACCTTCATTCTAATCGTGAATTCCTCCTTTAAGCT